ACTTTCTGTCTCTGTGGAGTGGCCTGTTCTGGACATTTCACATAAACGGAACCACTCACTGTGTGGCCTTTTGTGTCTGGCGTCTGTCACTGAGCGTGATGTGTTTAAAGTTCATCACGTTGCAGCGTGTGTCAGAGCCTCGTTCCTGTTCACGGCTGAGTGATGTTCCTTCATATGAGTGGACCGTGCTTTGTGTATTCGCTTATCAGGCGGTGGACATTTGGGTTGTTTCCACTGTTTGGCTATGACAAGTACTGCTGCTACGTAGATGTGTGTACTAGTGTTTGAGTGGACGTTCATTCTCATCTCTTTATCCCTCTGCTTTTGTTCCCTTGTCTCCGTCTTTCTCTTTCTGCGCATCTGTCTCTCTGTTTCAGTTTGTCTCTTTCTGTCTCTGTCTCTCTGGGACTGGGCTGGAGGGAGGGGTCTCACCTCCCCTCATTCCTCTCTCCCCTCCCTGCAGCACTTTATGAAGCCCTTGCAACGGTTCCTCAAACCTCAAGACATTGAGATCATCTTCATCAACATCGAGGTGAGACAACCGACCCCCAGCCCTCTTGGGCATTTGTGCAGTGGGGAGAATGTGCTGGCTCCACCTGGACCTGGTGGGTGGGGGGTGAGAATTGAGCAACACTGGGTGGGGTGATGACCCTTCCCTGCCCCAACCTCTGAGCCCCAGGCTCTGGCCCCAGCCCTCACCCCTCCCACCGAATAGGACCTGGTTCGTGTGCACACCCACTTCCTAAAGGAGATGAAGGAAGCCCTGGCCAACCCTGGAGCACCCACTCTGTACCAGATCTTCATCAAATATAAGGAGAGGTGAGACCCAGCTGGCCAGACCAGAGCCCTGAGAGTCACTGCCATGTCCGGCCTGGGAGTTTGGGAGACCTTATCCCCAGAGACCACTGAACAGGGAAGACTTTTTTTTGCAGTGTGCTCGTGGACAAGGGGCTGCCCATTTCTGGCTCAATTCCCAGCTCTGTGGCACTGGGAAGCTACTTAACCTCTCTGTGCTTCTGCTTCATCATCTGTAAATCAGTGTGGTACAGGAACGTGCCTCCTAGGGTTGTGGTGAGGGTTGAATACATTGATACGTAAAATGCTTAGCACAAGGCCTGGCACACAGTAGGTGCTCAATAAGTGTTTGTTAAATAAATAAACATTGAGTAGAGATAATATGCCAGGTGCTGTGGTATGATCCTCTTATGCATAATCTCATTTAATGCTATGATAATCCCGTGTGTGAGATGCGATTGTTATGCCCATTTTACAGATGGGGAGACTGAGGCTCAGGGTTATCCACCTGAAAAGAGCAAGGCCAGAACTGATACTCAGATCTGCCTGACCTTGGTGCCGGCCACCATTGTATGGTGACATGTCCTCTTCCTGTAGGTTCCTTGTCTATGGCCGCTATTGCAGCCAGGTAGAGTCTGCCAGCAAGCACCTGGACTGCGTGGCTGCAGCCCGGGAGGACGTGCAGATGAAACTGGAGGTGGGGGCCTGGCCACATCTGGGGGCTCTCCCACTCCTTCTCAAGCCCTGCAGGCATCAGGGAGGAGACTGGGTTGGAGATGGCTCCACTTTCTGCTACAGCCCAGCCACAGCCAAAGGTTTGGGGAGGGAGGGAGCAGTCAGTCATTTCCATGGAGGAAATGGAGCAAGGCAAAAATGCAATGTGTGGTTTGGGGAGGGAGGGAGCAGTCAGTCATTTCCATGGAGGAAATGGAGCAAGGCAAAAATGAGCCAGAGCACTGAGCCCTGACCTCAGCCAAGCCTTGATCCCCAAGCTAAGCCCTGATCCTCAGCTGAACCCCAGCCCAGATCTGTGTGTCTAGTGGAAACACAGGCAGGGCAGTGGCAATGAAAATAGGGACCCTTCAGACCTGTCCCTCTCCGCCTCTCCAGCCCCACTCAGCTGGCAGAATAATGGGCTTCTACCATTTGCCAGCCTTCCAATAGGTCTTAAGCTGCCCCTCACCCCATAGCATCCTTCCTTCTTTATTTCCTTGGGGGGAGATAGGGTGCTCCAGGCTCTAGAAAAATCCACAGAGCTCTGGGGTGGAGAGCTGCCCGAGTATTTATACACATCTGTATGCACGCCTACTGGGCACCTGCTTCCACCTGGTCTCAGTCACCCCACTGTCCTCGGGTCCCCCAGGAATGCTCTCAGCGAGCAAACAACGGAAGGTTCACCTTGCGAGATCTGCTGATGGTGCCCATGCAGCGGGTGCTCAAGTACCACCTCCTTCTCCAGGTGCCAGGCGCAAGTGGGGGGTCCCCGGGGCATGGGCTTGGCGTGTCTACTGTGTCTGTAGGGGTGGGAGTGGGGCTGGCTTTTAAGGGGTGGGGCTTTAGGACCCTCTGGGAGGGGTCATTCGGGTCATGTTTCAGGTAGGCTAGCATTGGGGTGTGCGTGTGCGTGTGTGCGCGTGGCTGGCCGGTCCTGGGATCCGAACTCATGACCTCATTGTTGGAAGGCTGTGCCCTAACCGGCCAGCTGCTAGCAGCGTTTGAGAGGCCGCCCCAGGAGGCGGGGGCAGGTGATGTCTGATTTCTCGGTTCACACAGGAGCTGGTGAAACACACGCAGGAGGCGATGGAGAAAGAGAACCTGCGGCTGGCCCTGGACGCCATGAGGGTGAGTGGGGTGCGGGGGTGACGGTCGTGCACAGGCTGTGGTCACCCTCTCTACGCCTCCTGGTGGGGGCTGACCCTCTACTCTGGGCCAGGTAAAGGATTGGCCTGGGCGTGGGGGGCCAGGCTCATCTCCGCCCCACCCGCAGGACCTGGCGCAGTGCGTGAACGAGGTCAAGCGGGACAACGAGACGCTGCGGCAGATCACCAACTTCCAGCTGTCCATTGAGAACCTGGTGAGGCCGGGAGCCGGGTGGGCCTGGGGTGTGGCCACGTGGGGAGGGTGGCTGGTTCCCTTTCTGGTGGCCCCTTGCCAGACCACCCGCCTGCTGCGTAGGACCAGTCTCTGGCGCACTATGGACGACCCAAGATTGACGGGGAGCTGAAGATCACCTCGGTGGAACGGCGCTCCAAGATGGACAGGTGGGCGGAGTCAACAGGGATCTCTGTGGGGCCTGGGCAGGGGCGGGGCCAAGCTCCTAGATAGGTGGGTGGGTGGGGCCAACATAGACCTGGGTGGAGCCTGAGTAGGGGCGGGGCCAGGTTGGTGGGTGGAGCCTGGGCAGAGGTAGGGCCAAGTTCTTAGATAGGCAGGTGGGCCGAACCTGGCCTGGGCCAGATTCCTAGACAGACTTGTGGGCCGAGTCAACAAGGATCTGGGGAGAAGCCTAGGTAGAGGGGCCAAATTCCTAGATAGGTGGGTGGGCAGGGTCAACAGGGATCTGGGGTGGGGCCTGCGCAGGGGCGGGGCCAAGTTCCTAGATAGGCAGGTGGGCTGAGCCTGGCAGGGGCCAGATTCCTAGACAGACTTGTGGGCCGAGTCAACAAGGATCTGGGGAGAAGCCTAGGTAGAGGTTGGGCCAGATTTCTAGATAGGTGGGTGAGCCCACTCAAACAAGGGGGTGGGGTCTAGATAGACAGGGAAGGCAGGGCCAGCTGGGTGTGTGGATGGAGCCTAGGCCAACACTTGGTGGGGCCCACACTGATCACGTGGGTGAGGTCAGGAGGGACCGGTGGGCGTGGCCAAGTTGACCAAGTACCAGGCGGTTAAGAGTCCTAGATGGACAGCAGGTTGGGGCCAGGAAGGTAGAGGGAACCGGGCAGAGAGGTGGTGGGGAGTGTCAGGAGGCGATAGACAGGGGCCCCTGACCCAGCGACTTCCAGGTACGCCTTCCTGCTCGACAAAGCCCTGCTCATCTGTAAGCGCCGGGGGGACTCCTACGACCTCAAGGACTTTGTGAACCTGCATAGCTTCCAGGTTCGGGATGACTCCTCCGGAGAGCGAGACAACAAGAAGGTGGGCTCTGAGGCCAGAACCGGGTGCCCCAGTGCAGGGCCGATTTGGGACTCCACTTGGCCTTTGGAATACTCGTGTGTGTGTTAATTAATCCACTCAACAGTTTTTGTGGGGTTTTTTTTTGGGGGGGGGGACTGCCCGGCATGGAGATCCGAACCCTTGACCTTGGTGTTACAACACCGTGCTCTAACCAACTGAGCTAACCGGCCAGCCCCTTCAACAACTTTTAAATTAATTAAGCACCTACTATGTCCTGGGCACTCTTCTAGGCACTAGGTTTAAAACTGAAAACAAGACAAATATGGTCTCCTCTTGTACGGTGCTTACATTTTTTTGGAAACAAGAAAAAGACGGTGATGTGTTATGCAAAGAAAATAACACGGGCAGTGACAGTGATGGTTGAGGGTGGGACGGGGCTGTCTTTCCTCCATTGGTCAGGAACTTGGAGGTGACATTTGAGCTGAGACCTCTCTCCGTCTTGGCTTTTCCTCACTTCCTTCCACTCTCTCTCCTGCTGACTCTTCCTTTCTCTTGAGCCTTTATCCTGGAAGTCCCCTTGTCCCCTGAGCTGCTGCTTCTCTGTTTCTCTAGCTGCCTCATGGAGGTGCTAATTGCTCTCTTGTAATTGCCTGTTTATGGGTCTGTCTCCCCTACCAGCCTGGAGCCCTGGGGACAATGTCCTGTTCACTGCTCTGTCCCCAGCTTATAGCACAAAGTCTGTCTCCAGCAGGCTTTCAACAAGTGCTTGTTGATTAAACAAATGAATGAATGACATGCTTTGTCTGGAGTGTGTTTCTGAAAAGGTGTGTGTGATTTTGGGGTTGTGGATGTGTATTTGGATATCCTAGGCAGCCCTTTACAGGCTAAAGGCAGAGAGACTGTGATCAGTCCAACGCTTTGCTCTTTGCAGGGAGGGCTTGGTGGGTGTGCCCTGTGGTCCCAACCTCTGCAGGGTGGGTGCCTTCATTCTGAGCTCTGCTTCCCTGCAGTGGAGCCACATGTTTCTCCTCATCGAGGACCAAGGTGCCCAGGGCTATGAGCTGTTCTTTAAGACTCGAGAACTGAAGAAGAAGTGGATGGAACAGTTTGAGATGGCCATGTGAGTCCCCTGCCCCTCCCGCTTTCTATACTCAGAGGACTTGACCTCATGGGTGCAGGGGCTGCAAGGCAGCACTGTGCTCTAGTCCCTGCTCTGCCCTGACATGCCATGGTACCACTCTGAACCTCAGTTTTCTCATCTGGAAAACGGGAGGGACAGGCTTAAGGCTGTCTGCATTTCCAGAATACCAAGTTTCTATGAAAGCTCCAGACACCAGCTAAAATCTCCTCCTCCTGCTCCTGCTTCTTTTTATATTAAGGTAAAATTCACATAAGAAATTAACCATTTCAGAGTGTACAATCCATGTCATCTAATACATTTGTAACGTTGTGTAATCATCACCTCTATCTACTTCCAAAACCTTTACATCACACCCCAAAGAGACCCCAGTGTCTATGAAGCAGTCGCACCCATTCCCAGCCCCTGGAAACTACTGATCTGCTTTCTCTTTCTACCAGTGTTCATAGCAGCACTATTCACAATAGCCAAAAACGTGGAAACAACCCAGATGTCCACCGATGGATGAACAGATAAACACAATGGCATATCCATGCCATGGAATCATATTTAGCCATGAAAAGGACTGACTTGTCGGTCCTTTCTTCCTCTCTCTTTCCCTCCAGCTCCAACATCTACCCCGAGAACGCCACTGCCAACGGGCATGACTTCCAGATGTTCTCCTTTGAGGAGACCACTTCCTGCAAGGCGTGCCAGATGCTGCTGAGGTTGGTGTCTAGGCAGGTGGGCCTGGGTCCTGGGCTCAGTCAGTTCTTCCTCTCTGGAGGGGCCCCTCCAGTAATTGGCCCCCTAAATTGGGAGAAGGGAGGTCCTACTTGGGTCTTCAGCTTCTGCGTCACTGTCCCTGCTGTAAAGAGAACTTAAGGGGGCTTTTCACATTGTTGGCAGATTGCTTAGTTGTGCCAGTCAGGACCCCTGACTCTTCTTTATCTCCCCCCTGCATCCCAGAGGCACCTTCTATCAGGGCTACCGCTGTCACCGGTGCCGGGCACCTGCACACAAGGAGTGTCTGGGGAGGGTCCCTCCATGTGGCCGACATGGGCAAGGTACTAGTGGCAGGAGGATGGGAGGTGCACCTGGTTTACGCTGGGAGAATTCCCATTCTAACTATCTCCTTTTCCCTCCCATAGATTTAGCAGGAACTATGAAGAAGGTACGAGCCCCTGCCCCCATGCTCCTTTCTGTGCATGGAAAATCACGGGGGTAATGAGGGGAGGACCCAGGATGCCCCAGCAGTGGGCACCGTCTTTTGTTGGGTGAGGACAGTGAAGGGGCTGAGGAACCTCCAGGCTGGGCATCGGCAGCCATGCTTGCTTTCTTGGTCTCTCCTTCTAGGACAAAGCACATCGAAGGGCTCAGGACAAAAAGAGGAATGATCTGGGTGAGTCAGCAGGGGGCGCGGTGTGGGGTCAGGAGGAAAACTGGTCTCTGTCCCAGTGATGCTGACCTAGGGACAGATCTGCATCATCATATCGACCAACATCCACCTAATGTCCTGCTTGTAACACCATGATCCATGTATTCCAGTCCCAGAAACCTGAAAGGAATTTAAAAATAACTGTGGTCATTGCACACTGTATAAATGCACCCAGATATCACATTGTCTTCCATAAATATATACAGTTATCGTGGGTGAAAAATAAATTAGAAAGAAAAAAATAACGAACTCAAATTCCTTCCTTGCTTTGTTCCAACACTGTGGACAGAATGCATGAAGCATAGTAATATATGTTAAGATCTTTCTCTTCTGTCCATCTTTCCTACTCATTCCTCTTTTCTCCCCCCTTCTGTAGTCTGAGCCAGCGACGTACACCTCAGATAGCTCTGTTCATCCCCTCGCCTGTTGATTCCATATCACAAAATCCCACAAGTTAGGATTTCAGCTAGGTTTTCTCCTTGCTGGGGGAAAGCGGAAGAGAAAGCTTGGTCAAGCCGGAATTCTTTTAAGCCCGATGGTGAGGGAAAAGGCTGGAGTCATTCACATGTTACTGAGTTCTGTGGGATTGCAGTAGTGATGGGTGACTTCTACTCACCATCTACTATAGGTATTGTCTGGGACAGATGACGACTGAAACTGTAGTGCTACCTGCCTTCCCAAAGTTCCCAGGCTGGTAGGGGAGACAGATTTTGCTTTAAGTCATTTTGGTTGTGGTGGGAGAAGTGCAGGGTACTTCGGAACATTAAATTGGGGGAACTGAGAAATCTGAGTATTCAGGGAAGACTTCTTGGAGGAGGAGACATTAAAGTGGAGACTTGAGAGATGAACCGGGTCTGAGGAAGAGGACAGGAGTGTTCCAGGCAGAGGGAACAGCATGTGCGAAGGCTAGGAGGCAGGAGCGCAAAGTGTTGTTAAAGAACTGAGGACAGTTTATGTGGGAAAAATAAAGTCATTGCTCAGTCAAACAGTCAGTGTAAAGACTCAGATTTTACGTGTATTCTATCTTGTACATATTGTATATAAAACATACAATAATGTTAATATTACATGTTTATCATACACAATATATACATACATACATATACATGTATACACACATATATAACACTATATATAACAGAATATACATATAATCTGTCTTTTATATATTATATATAATAAATAATATAGAGAGTATAAAATACATGGTATATTTTAATGTTATATTATTGTATATTATAATTATTAAGTATTATAGTTATAATTTATTATATAATAATAAATACAATATAATATATATTTGTGTATTATCAGCTTTATTTGTAGTAATCACACACTAGAAACAGCCCAAATGTCCTCAATGCAATATGAAATATGTAGAGAAATAAAATGAAAAGATAACACAAATCTTTCCAAGAATTTTTTGAAGTACCCTCATATGTGTGTGTGTTATTCCTTAATTACCAATAATCAATCTGTTTTATTAGCAATAGTCAATACTAGAAACAATCAAAATGTCCTCAGTACCACGGTAGGACACACACACGCACACACTTTTTATTGAGATAGAAAATACAAACTGTAAGGTGTGTAAAGTGAATAAATCTTAAGCATACAGCTCAATGAATTTTTATACATGTAACCAACAATCAAATCAAGGTATAGAACATTCCTTCCCTCCAGAACTGTAGTGTTCAATATAAGTTAAAATTAATTAAAATTAATAATGTTAAAAACCCTTTCACTCAGTCACACTAGCCACATTTCAAGTGCTCGACAGCCACCAGTAGCTAGTGGGCATCTGGCTTCTTTTATTCAACATAATGTTGGTGAGATTCACTGATGTGGTTGCTTGTAGCAGGAGCTTGTTTCTTTTTATTGCTGTATAGTATTCCATTGTGTGAGTATCTCACAATATGTTTACCCATTCTATTGAGGAAACTTGGTTTGCTGCCAGTTTTTGGCTATTGCAAATAAAGCCGCTGTGAGCATTTTTGCCCATGACTTTCAGTGGACGTATGTTTTCATTTCTCTTGGGTATATACTGGAGTGAAATTGCTGGGTCACAGGGTAGACGAATGTTTAGCTTTAATACATACTGCCAAACAGTTTTCCAAAGTAGATCCACACCAGCAATCCAGCAATGTATAAAAGTTCCAGTTGCTCCAAATCCGCACTGCCACTTGGTATTTCCAGTGGCCATTCTGGTGGGTGGTGAGACTCAGGTTTGAAAATCTACTTGACCACTGACCACCGTGTACCACCACCTCCCTGTCCTCCAGGTCTGCCCAAGATGGAGGTGTTTCAGGAATACTATGGGCTTCCTCCACCCCCTGGAGCCTTTGGACCTTTTCTACGACTCAACATCGGAGACATCGTGGAGCTCACTAAGGCTGAGGCTGAACAGAACTGGTGGGAGGTACAGGCTGAGGCCATGGAATGATGGGTTGGGACTCAGTGTGGTGTCATGGGTGCAGGTGACTTTGGGGAGTGGGGTCACAGTTCCACTGGGCTCTGGAGGTGGTGCCTGGAGAGGAGTGATGTAGAACAGGGATTTCTGGCCTTGGCTCGGCTCTTCTGAGCTGTTTCTTCCCAGGAAGTTGATATTGGTTGGCATCTTTCTGGGCCATCCAAAGAGAGATGACAAGCAGAGTGGCCATTGAGCAGAGAGCTGGACACACATACATGGATGCCTGTAACCTCCCTGTCCATGTTTTTGTCTCCTGGGTTTTTAGGGCAGGAATACGGCTACCAATGAAGTTGGCTGGTTTCCCTGTAACAGGGTGAAGCCCTATGTCCACGTGAGTGCCTCAAGTTTGGATGGAGCGAGGGCTAGGGGTCCAGGGAGGGTCCTGGGAGGGTGGACAGACTTGAGAGGACACCCCTGCGGATGGGGAGGGGGATGCCCATCATGGCGGGTCATTCCCCAACTCAAGGCTCTGTCTACTCCGCCCCAGAGTGGGGGCACCGTGAGAACGAGGACCGATCCATTCCTTCTTGATTCTTTTTGTGTGAAGGTCCTCGCCTCCATCCAGGGGTGCGGTGGGGGAAGGAGCAGGAGTCCAGGAGGTGGACCTGTTCCTGGCTTCCTTCAGAGACTCTGAATTGAGTCCTGTGAAGACACCATGCCCAGCCCTTCCTCCTACCCCAGCTCCCAATGCACAGACCCATCCACCGGCTCTACCGTACTTCAACTATTCTCTGCTCAACTGATTCCTCACTCTACGATGAGCTCAGCTCTTTCCCAGTCTCCCCAAACCCCAGACACCCCCTTCCTCCCTCATTCACAGCAGATGACCCCAGTGACCACCTCCCAGCCCAAACAGGAGCCCACAGAGGGGACCTCTCTCCAGTGTTAGTTGCAACCTTAACTTGCTGTCATTTCCGACTTCTACCAAAGTCGTGAGAACCATGCAAAGAGCCCCCACGTATGCTTTACCCAGGCTCACTAGTGTTAACATTTCATCCCATTTGCTGTCTCTCTCTGCACACATACTGTTTATTTTTTTGGAGACACTTAAAAGTAAGTTTGCAGATCTATTTCCCCTTTATACCTAAATACCTCCTAAGAACAAGAACCTTCTCGCACATAACCATAGTAGGATTTAACAAAACATGAAATTCAACATTGACATTACACTATTATTTGATCTATTTGGATGGAAATGTTGCTGATTTTCTCAAAAATGTCGATTAGAGATTTTTTTTTTCTTTTGATCCCACATTTTCTCCACTGTCGAGTTACATTATTAGTTTCCAACTCTGTCTTTCCTCCCAAATGTATTAGCTGGTATTCTACTGCAAGGAAGAGCTGTCCCTTCTTCCCTATCTGTTTCAATCTATCTGTCTGTCTGTCTATCTGTCCACACATCCATTTATCTGTCTATCCATCCACCCATCCATCCACCGTCTATCTATGTCTTTGCATATCTGTCCCATCCATCCATTTATTGTCTATCATCCATTTATCTGTTTATCTAAATTCTATCCACGATTCCATCTATAATTTTCTTTATCCATCTACCCACTTATCCTCTGTCATTCTTCTATCTAATCTATTATCTTTCTATCTATCCATTGATCATCCTCGTCATCACATATCAGGAATAGCTTGTGGATTCTTATTTTAAAATTGTCTTAGCTCTGGCCGGCAGGAGCACCTTCAGGCCAGTTCTTCTGTCATCCTGACAGGCCCCCATCATTCATGGAACACTTGCTTATTTTCTGGCCCAGTAGCAGATTTATTTTGTACGTTCCCTGCTCCAGTCTTGGAATCAACTCTTTCTTCAAGGAGCTCTGGTCCAAGACCTGGCATCTCTCCAGTTACTGCCTCCAAATGTAGCTGCCTTCTTTTTTTTTTTTTTTTTTTCTTT